ATATTTTAATAAATATTATATTTTTCTGCACTATAAGCGAGCGCACGAGATCTTTTTGTACACCGCCCTGAAAACTTGGCGTCTATATTGCCCCGGACTCTCCCCGATTTATTTATTGATTGGTGGGTAAGCAGGTGGGCAGAAAAAATGAGAAGGCTTTAGCGGTGAAAGGACTTTGCATGCTGCGGTTGCGGCTGCGCCCGACGACCAACATCACGCCATGCATGTACATATGCATGCATGCAAAGGGATCGACAGGAACCGATCGGCCGGAAAGAACCGAGATGAAATGACGGCACGAATCAAGTAGTGGGTTTAATTGATTGAATTGATGACTGCACATGCCGCATCTATCTATCCATTCACCCAGCTAGCCACCAATGCAATACTCCTGAAATCTATGCACCATCGATGCTCAGAATTCCAAACGCCATACTATGCTTTGTCTTGTTCTACCTTCTACCACCCGATATTATCTTTAATACCACCGTCGAAAGGACCGGCAACGTTGTGTCGAGGGACGAAGTTACGAACCTGTATAGACTTGTTAATACTACTTTCGAAATTGAGAACGTGAATGGGCGGCGTACTTGACAGGTTCAATGACGGTAGCCAACATATTCCCAGCCCAAAAAGAAAAGTAAAAGCAAGACGATGAAGAACCATAGCTTTCGCTCTTCTCGTCCTTGCTCGCTCTCGCTCTCGCTCTCGCTCTCCTTGCTTTAACAATCGGTCTCGCTCTCGGTCTCCTTGCTTTAACATTCGGTCTCGCTCTCGCTCTCCTTGCTTTAACAATCGGCCTCGCTCTCCGCGTTCTTGCTTTCGCTCTTCTTGGAGAGCCTCCATGAAAGCGTCCATCACTTGTTTTGCGTTCTTTTCGTCTTCGGTGTTATCGTCGAAAACGAAGTCGGTGGAAGAATTGTTTGGTGAGACACAAGCTAAGACTAGAAGTTAGTAGTTGTAGTAGATAGATCGCAAATTAATCTTACTTGTGTGGTGCTCAAATTGGTTGTTGCTTTCAAAGTGCTCGAGTTCGTTGTTGTTATTATCTTCAAGGAATTCGAGCTCGGAACTAAAGCTTGGATTATTATCGACTTCGGCTTCGGCTTCGGCTTTAGCTTCGGCTCTAGCACGTGAAGATTTTATTTGCTTCTCTTGCGACGACGACATAGTTAGTTATTGCGTCGTTATATTTTTTGCGTCGTTGCGTTGTTATTTATTGTTTAAAACTACAAAGATATTTTAATAAATATTATATTTTTCTGCACTATAAGCGAGCGCACGAGATCTTTTTGTACACCGCCCTGAAAACTTGGCGTCTATATTGCCCCGAACTCTCCCCGATTTATTTATTAATTGGTGGGTGGTGGCGCGAAGCTCTTCGCGCCACTTACTCGCCCAATCAGAGCTAGGCCAGAACGCTGGCAGAAAGATTTCGAGAAAGCCTTAGCGGTGAAGGGACTTGGCAGATTTTTGAACAGATCCACATTCCCTAACCCCACAGATGCTGTCGCTGCCCCAAGCTGCCTGCGGCTGCTCCCGATGATATCACATTATTCCATGGGATCGACGGGAAACCTAGATGACTTTCACGAATCAGGTGGTGGTGGTGGTGGACAAGTAAATGAATGGGTGCCCCGAAAAGCCTTTTCGATTGTCTGTCTACCTAGGGTACTGTGTTTTCACTGCTGATGCCTTCCTCTCAGCCGGAGAAAAAAGTTGCCGGAATTGCGCACGTGCCCAACACCAAAAAATTCATCGAGTACCTATCTAATACCTCGTCATCTGCCCTCCCACCTCCTGTGCAGCATGTAGCCTTTTAGTATACCATGAATAGAGCTCTTGAATCTTCTCTTGATCCATTTCATTGTCCCATATCTTATTAAACCGTGCCTGTGCAGCGCTCTTTGTGACAGTCCTTTTAGCATGAAATTTCCTCTTTAATGACCGCGCCATGGACTCAAATATGGAGAAGTCAGGGGCTTTGCCAGGTGCAGTGAGGAGTTTTAAACCATTATTCTTAGCCCATGAAGTGACTGCTTTGCTGTCATGAGCAGAGTCCTTGTCTTGGTACAGAGTAGAGTCCTGATTTTCCCCCCATCTGCCATCTCTCTGCAGCCCAGTTTGTATAGCCAGCAGCAAGCAGAAATTTTTTTGAATACTTCCAATTATTTCCACGCGTTCAAAATAGCCACTTTTGCCTTCAAACCGTATACTTATGTGCTAACTGCTCCGCGTTCTAAGAGCCGCAAACCTGCCTCGAAGCCAGTCAGCATCTTCGACAAGCTCCAGCGCATGAAGCTGAGTAGTGCAGAACTCAACACGCCACAATCAGCAGCAGCAAACAATTATGGGAGTGACAAGCTTGGAATCCGAGGTAAGTTCTAAGATCGAGAAGTTTAGGCTAGTAGCAACAACAACTAACTTTGGATACCTGAGAGTAAAGAACAATATCGTTATTAACGACAACGAAAATGACGACGACTATGACCTTCCCTCCATCGAACAATTGCTATATATCACGTTACAGAATAAAAGCTTCGCAGCGGGGGACCAGCTTTCGAGTAATATAGCCTTCAAAATTGGGGAAAAAACTACAAATGGAGAGGCGGCTCTCTTGATGATAACGGGTCAACACTAGGCGGTAATTCAAGCGATAGTCCAAGTAAACATGCTCTTTATCTTCTATTGTAGAAATAAACGACTAATTTTTCTAACATAGTATAAAAGATTTAATTGTGCTGCTAGGCGATAGTGACTCAAGTGCCTTTAAAGCCGAAGTCGACGACAGTAGTCTTTGTGCTGAAAGTGCGGCGGCAATTGAAGACCTTCTCAACAGCCCAGAGACTACCATCGCTCCGGCGCCTCCTAATTCCGATATGTGGCACGATATTGATGACTTACTCGAAACGGCAGAGCACTTGCAGCGCTCTAAACCACAGCCTTCGACGTCCAATTCTATACGTCCTCATACTTCCTCCTCTTCCCGTGCCTCGAGCGGGCCATTGCACGACTACACCAGTGTAGCAGGCCACCAGTCCTCACTTTGCAACAGAGCGTTACCAGAGAACCAGCCCATTTATGAGAATCATCTTTGTATTAGTAAAAGCTTAGCAAACGAACACGAGCTGGAGGTGCTTAGCTCTATACTCTATATCGATCGCGTTAATGAGGAGAAAAAACAGCAGCAAGAGTTAAAGCAGAAGAAGGACGAAGCCCATGGTGAGGACGACGGATTGCAGCAGGATGTGAACGATGTGGCAGCGACCAAAAAGGTCGATAATACCCATTTATCCGACAAAGGCGGAAGTCCAAGGCCAGCTAAGCGACAGAAGCTTTTACTCTCCCACGATCCCTTACCAAAGTTAAGTCATAATAAGGCGAAGGATCGCAGTGATAGTGACAGCGACGACGAGCTTAATGATAATAAAGCCGGCTTGAAGGAAGATAGTAAAGAACCATGCCCTATGAAGCGGAAACAGTCATCCTCATTCCACAACGGCCCAATACAAAAAGGGCGCAAGTACTATCTTCAGCAGAGATCTTCCCAACAACATAGACCATATTCCAAGCCCCATCGACGCTCTCCCACACTTCGCACCCCCTTTAATCAGGCTTCGAGAGTCACCGCAGTATCCAGTGCCGAGGGTCGATTGCCTTCCCTACAAAACCTCAGCGACGGACTCAGTACCACGCCAGCTCTTATTTCTGCACTTTTCTTCGGAAATGCCAGGCACTTTTGAGTGAGAGCAGGGTAAAAACAAGGATTATGAGGAGAGTTTTGAGGATTCCACTTTAATGCAGGGTTTCTAAGAGCTGGTGCAAGGGAAAAGGAAGGGGTCGGTCTCATGGTCTTCTCCCCTGACCAGGGCTAAGGGCACTTACTAGGGAGCCGGTCTCCACTCGCCAGGGGCTAGTTTCAATGCCGTCAGCACTTGACATGGGCTTGGGACCACTTGGTGACTTAAGGTCAAAGCTCTTAGTCTCTCTCCCTTGTGAGCTTAAAAAACTGAGTCTTTTGATGTTCTCCAAAGCTCGGTATATGAGACATTTGATGAACTTCCACACCATAAAAGTGCACTCAAAAGCATTGGAATCAGTACTAAAAGTTTACTTTTGGTACAGCCATATTCCGCAAGTTAACAGGCGTGGAGAGAGAGAGAGAG